TTGTACTGGGTTGATTCGGAATGTGTATTGTGTGTTTGTAATGAGTTGGTATTGAACCATGGATGATGGATGGTAGTTACTTGTATCTATTTTCCTTCCCTATTTCAATATATGATAGTAATTTTCCAAATCACTCCCACTCTAAGTATTCAAAAGAATTTCTAGCTGTATCATTTCATGTGACTGAACGAAATGTTGGATGGGAATTGTGTTGATTGAATGCATCTAGAGACTGCGGTAGATTTGGAATTTAAGATGTGCTTTAAAATGTTTTAGATTGTTTGGATTGTTTTATTGTCAGAAAGGAATTGACTGATTTTGATGGTTTTGATGTTTTGGATCATTTGAATATCTGAGTTATTTAACCGATATCCCTGTATCTTGCACAACCCTGTATCTTGCACAATTGGAGTTATTAAACTAGAATCGTATTAAATCAAATCAAATGATTTTAAAATGTGTACAAGAATCGTTATATTTATTAAAAGATATAATCAGGAATTGAAAGATTTGAAAAATGCAATTGAAAGGAAGGGATTTATGATGAAAATATTTTAAAATAAGAATAAAATAAAAACCTATATGAAAAAAAATTTGTAATAAAAAAGAGTTTTTTGATTAATTCTTAGGATGATGTTATCAAAAGTGGTGAAATTTCGAAAAAAGAAATAATCAAGTTTTATATCCAAGTTTTAAATTTTTATAGGTTTAAAAAAAGAAAAATAATTTAAAAAAACTTTTAAAAAAAGAAATATGTATTTCGAGAGGGAGAAAAATAAAGTTATTTTTAAGGGAATTAAAAACTATTTTTTATATATTAGAAAATATCAATATAATAATAAATAACATTAAAATAATATATTATTTAGAAGTTATAATTAATTATATTATAGAGTAATATAAATAAAAGAAAATAATAATTAAAATAATTGATCTTTATATTTCAGTTGAAAAGTTTATTATATATTTTTTTTCAATCAAAAATATTATAGTTTCTTTTTTAAAAGAATTTTATTTCTAAAAAAAGTCTTTAAATTTTATAATATTTCTAAGAATTTTATAATTTATATTCAATTTCAAATTCATTTTATAATATTTAATACTAATTATTAATTTTAAATTTAAATTTAAATCAAGATTTCTTTCAAAAAATATTTAAATAAAAATTCTTTATTATTGATTATATAATTTTAATTTTTAAATATTAATATTTTTAAAATAAATAATTATATATATAAATATATAATAAAATATGATATTTTATTATTTAATTATTAATATTAATATATAAATAATATATTATATAATTAAATTATATTCAGAATATAATTAATACTTAAGTTATCAAACAAATTTGTTTTAAAACACTTTTTATTAAAACTCTTATTAAATTAATATAATTCGAATTTTTGATATTAAATTAGCTTTTTTGATTCCTTATATTAAAAATCTCAAATTTATGAATATATTCTAAAAACAAACTTTTATTATTCTATTATAAATAAATATATTAATAATTTATCTAAATGTTTTAATATCAGATTTCTTCATATCAATTATATTATAATTTTATTATTTATATAAAAGAAAACATTATAATATTCTATTTTTTTGTTAATCGAATCATGATTTGGTGTTTCTTCTCATTTTAGAGTTATTTCAACAAGAAAAAAAAGTGGACAAGATGCAGGGTGTGCAAGATGTAGGGATATCGGTTTAGTGCTCAATATTTTTCATAAGTCAACTACCTCACTTCTGACCACCCCCTGTTCCAATTATCTAAAAAAATTATATTATTTATACTTAAAACTTTAATAACTTAATAACTATTGAACTTCAATAAAATTACTTGTAGAATCATTTCTATAATATTAAAGCTATTATTTTCCTTAATTTTATAATTTCCCATTTTAATTGTATATACCTTATAACTCTAATTTCTATAAACTTTGAATTTGGAGATATTACAACTTTTTGTCTTTTTCTAAATAATACTTTATTTAATTGATATTCTAATGTTCTAATTTTATTCTTTGTTTTTAAAAGTTTATAATTTTTAATATTAAAATTCTTTTATAATTTTACAAATAATAATCTTTATATTAACAAATCGATTTTTTTTTTCTTGAATTATTATATTCTATATTTTTTAATATTAATTTCTTTTTAAAGGGTTTTTTATTAATAAATAATAAATATATATTCTATTTAAAAATAGGATTATTATTAAATTCAGAATTAAATAATAAATCTTTTTATTATTATTTTCAAATAATAATCAATTTATAAAAGGTTTAGTTATATTTTTAAATCAAAAATTATTAGTTTGCTATTCAAATTTGATATTTTGAATAATTAAATTTTCTATTTTAGTCTTTTAATAATAAAAAAGGAAATTGTACTTTCCAATTAATAAGAAATTGAATAATAAACTTAATTTATTAAATTTGATTTAATATATATTTTTTAGAAGTAAAAATATAAATAAATCGAATAATTATAGTATATATAATATATATAATAAAAGAAATAAAAAATATATATTATTATTAAAGTATTTTAATATAAATGCTATAGTTTTATGATTTCCATATTTATTCAAAATAAGAAGTCTTGAATTTTTCGGTTGAATAAAAATAATTTGAAAGATATAAATCTTTTTTAGCTATTTTAAAACTATAATATCTATAATCTATTCATTTTTTATAATAATAAAGTTTTAATTCTTAAATAGAATCAAATCAATTGAAAACTATTATTATTAAATTGATTTTTCTTTATATATTATAAAAAGAATAATACTTTTTTAATTAATTAAAATATATTTTATAAAAGAAATCCAAATTTGAAATCCAGATTACTTTTTTTAAATAAATCTTCAATCAATACTTTCTATTATTAGTTTATTAAAATTCTAATTCTTTATTATATCTACTTTATTTATATTTTATTTATTAATCAATTTAATAACCTTGATTTTAAAAATTATAAGATTCTAAAATCACTTTTTAATAATATTAGATATAGTATTTAAAACTTATATAAAATTGATTTAATATTATTTCTTAATTCTAATATTAGAATATCTTTAAAAAAAGCTATATATTCATTTCTTTTTAAATAAAGAATTCTTTTTTTATATAATAAAAAGATATTTTATTATTTCTCTAATTTAATAATATATAAAATTAATATTAAAAGCTTTTTATACTAATATCTATTTTATTAATCAATTCTTCTAAATTAAAAATAATTTTTAAAGTATTTGAATATCTTTTTGATATAAAACTCTATTATATATTTGATTATAAAATATAATATATAAAATATTATAATTCAAATTAGCTTTTTATATACTTATTTTATTTATAATTACTTTAAAAGCTTTTGTGATATTTTTTTTGATATATTTATTCTTTATATTATAATTATAATAATATCAAAATTTCAAATCAATTAATTAAAGTATTATTGAGTTATTCAAAATGTAAATTTTATAATTACTCAAAGCGGTGTGGTTTTTGAGGTGATCGAAAAGAGGGGGTGGTCGGAAAGTGGGGTAGTTGACTTATCTCAAGTAATTTCAATAGTCCAATTTTTCTCAATATCTCAAGGCATTTCATTGTCCGACGCAAGACTACCTAGTATTGTTTTAATTCTTGTCGATCTCTAAACATATATATGAACGTAAAAATTCATGTAAATCTTCCAAATCATCTATATGTCCCATAGTATATCAGCATATCAAATCATTTCCACGTACCAGGAGATTTCAATATCTCAAACTGAAGTCAGCACCTTAGAAATCTGTGATTATCTAACCAGCTGGCAGCAATACAAGGACATCACAATCTTGCCAATCGAGAATAGAGAACTAGCCTGTCTCTCTACTATGATGAATATCATGAATCAATGATATAATTAAGCTGGGATGACACACCAATCACGAGGGAAAAGCCAGGATGAGGGCTGAAAAGATATCAGCTACCTGTTGTAGAGCTGTGTCTACCCCAGAGGGCAACGGAGGCGATTATGTGAATTGCGTTAGCTACGAAGAAAGCAAGGCCTAGTGCGTATGTATCCCTTGTGGAATAGGGATTCGTCCAGCATTTCGAGACTCATTGAATTATTCCTTGCTGTCGATCTCTGCATTTCTGTTTCTGTTGTGAAGGAGTTGGTAATCTCCTCGTAGAGAGAGGTGATCTATGTTTCTATGAAAGTTATGTCGTCAGAGAGCAGAGAAAGGTCTTTGCATCTGATACTGATAACTTCCACCAGTCTGCATATGTAGACGCCACCCTTGAGCATTGCCTTACAAAATACAACCGAAATATCGCAGGTCTTTGATATTACACTGGCCTTCCTGTAACTCCACTTCTCCAGGTAATAGGGTGTGGAGTCTTACTCAACACACATGGAAAAGGATTGGCCCTTCTGATCAGACTCGGAGGCACACGACATAGTAACATAGCCGTGGACTCGTATAGTGTAGTACCAAGTTTTTAACGCCTAAATTTCTAGAAGAAAATAGCCAAGTAGTATCGATAGGTAGTATCTAGACTGTCTGAAAGGTTGGGAAAGTATGTTGGAGAAAGTGTGTGAGAGGAAAACTTCTTCGGTTGGTATACCAGAAAGAAATGCATTTCGCCAGTCAAGCCCCAAAAATGGTGAGGTTGTTTTGTCAGTTGGTGGACTGGCTTAAGAACTTTCAATGACAAGGGGCTGATGGATCACAAATATCGAGATGCGCATATTTTCTTGAGCGTAACAAGAATGAGGAGAGTTTTTTGCAACTATTGATCGATTCGCTAATTGGCTGATTTGTGGCAGTTCCCTAGCACCTTTGCCTAGGTGCTCTTCCTAACTGGTTCGGTTAGACTCTGGGAAGCATGGGTCTGTTGATCAATATCTCAATGAGAGATTTCACATATGCAGCGAGACTTCTGAAGGTATAGGGAATTTTCCTGTCTTCTAAATCATTGACATATTTGCCGTGCAAATTCTTCTCCATCTGTGGCTTCATGTCAAGCCTTCCTTAGGATATAACGATTTTCTCTACGTGAACACAATCTAGGGCACACTGCGAGCCTTAGTATATTCGGCTCTCTGGGTAAAAGATTAGTCTCACATCATCTGGTACGATTCGAAACATTATATTCAGGCAAGTCTACACCTTGAGATTTTACCTGGAGGAGATCCCTCATCTCAACCATCAAATGGAGCATCCCTATTCAGAATACTAACAACAGTCAGTGATTACGGAGATCACACGAAGCTTTTCTCGTTTCAACGAATCCTCGCGATTTGTAGAACAGAGGGATGAAAGATAAATGGAACAAGCTTTCTTCCATGAAGCCTTCTTATATTCATTTCATGCCAGGCACTAGCAACCTAAACTAGTGCGTCACATATTGCCCTTGGTAATAAATAATGTTTGTCGTCATCTGATTTAGTACTATCTTCGAAAGTGACTGGCGTCTCACTAAATTACAGTTCGTCGCAAATCAAAAAACTAGCGGCTCCCACAAATCTTTAAATATCACACCACTTCACTTTCGAGCAAGAACATCGATATCATCATTTCGTGGCAGACTGGCATCAAATAAATTCGAGTACATTATTCCTACCTCATAACCATAGTGGCTTGAGTTTTCTAACGTATAAATGAACAGAGAATCCAGTGAACGACTCTCATCTTGACAGTTTGTGGCATCAAAATTGAAATATCACAATTCGATTATTAACAAGAATAACCAGAGTTGAATTTCAAAATACCAATTCGATTAAAGGATTGAAATTTACCCCGGATTGTTTGCAATTCGGCATAGAAAACTGCTGGCTCCTCTGAAATGCCTTCGACGGAAACACTTGAGGTTGTAAGACACCAAACTACCATCTGGGCAGTAACGACTCGTATTGCAGTCGTTGACGCAGTTGTCTCAGCACCTATCGCTCTTCCATCATCTACAGAATACTGTAGTATCACTCATCGCATAGATAATAATGTCTGCACTGGTGATATCGTCGGGCTCATGATATTACTTGGTGGTTTTTTCATTAGACTAATTATGAACATGGCCATTTGCTTTGAAGAGTCGGAGAAAGATGTCAAGGATTTGATCGGTTGGTTGAAGTATCGCCCAAAAGAGGAGTGGGAAGATATTATAGATTCGCGAGCCGAGGCTTTGGGTAACTGGACAGAATGTCGACCCTACAAGGTGCATCATTCCAAGAAAAAGAAGAGATCATTGCTTTCCATCTGTATGTAATGCATTTTATAGAAGATTCTGACGATCTACACTAACGGCCGTATGGCAGTTCGGGGAGCTTCAAATGCAATCAAACAGGACAATGATGTTAAAGATTACATACGAGGCGTGAGGGGATTCAGTAAGAGTATAAAAGTAGATGACGATGGAAAGATCTCCCAGGATACCATAGATGACCTGTTTTGAACGTGTACTCATTACGGAAAGAGTAAATAGTGGACGACCCTATGGATTCAGTGTGAGATTGTTCGCCAAGGACAGTGTTGTAATTAGTATTTTCCGTATCTTAGTTACGACCCACTTTAGTGGTACGTATTGATATTTATGATAATAATTTTCAGTAATTATTATGGAATTATATATCACTGAAAGTATTCCATATTTCAATAATATTGAATATTGTTGGAACACGTGACTGAGAACGTGTATATAGCTTAGCAATGCCCCCTTCGTACGAAGGGGGCAGACATGAATTATAATACTATTGAACTCAATACACCCCCTTACTAAGTTAATCCAATAAATATCACTAACAATATACCGAAATACGGGAATCTGCATACTTCTATTCAAATATTACATATTTTGAACGATCTCTTTCCTTATTAGATTTAAAGTCGATCAAAATATACAATATTCGTATAAAAATATGTGAATTCCTGTATTTTAGTATATCTTTAGTATAGCTCTGTTTGTGTGATACATACGGATGTGGATATCATTGGCTATTATACGTACTAGCGTGCGTATTATACTCTCTATATCAGCCACAGTAATACTACCGTCTACTAATTACAACACTGGCCAAGGGACAGAAACGGAATACGACAACCAAGATTGAAACTTAAGGATGAGGAGTTTACTATAGAATGATGGAAGATTCGGGGTATCATTAGACAGCAAGGATTTATACTGGTTGATGATAGATGTCATATATCTCTGAACATCATCAAAGGAGAGCTATAATAGAAGAATGTAATAATTGGTTCATCGGTGGGTGTATAGACTGACGGGAGACTGTAAGAAAGGACTTGTGAATATCTCTTGATATATCAAGTTCTATGTCTTAGGAATTCTGATGATTGCTTGTTAGAGATAAAACAATCAAAATACAGATTCTGATATCAAATAATTGAAGAACAAATTTGTTAAAAAGCTCAAAAATTTGATTTAAACCTGATTTGTACACACTACATAAATTCCATCTGATTCAAGTCTTATACCAAAATTTTGTCCCTGGCTTCCACGCTGTGATATCATATCAAAGGCACAATCCTAAAGATCGACGCGCTGTTGCTCTCACGATACTCTCATTTTTTTTGCAGTCGGTGTCGGTCAGTCTCTCATCATTATATTTTCCGTAAAAAATAGATCTCTCATATCTGCATTGCCATTCTTAGCTATAACTTCGCTGTAGATTACTCTGGAGCGTGTCATGAAATGAAGTACATTCATAAAATTTATATAAGAATGATGGATAGCCGTGGACTGCGTGCTGTCAACGTCTCATGAATGTGGACCTTTGAAGTAACTTGTACTTAGGAAGGAATACACATCAAAAGTGTATTGGTTGATTGCGTCCTAGCATGGCAGATAGAGTATATAAGCCAGCAAAAAGCAAAAAAGACATACAACAGTGGGGATTCGCTGGTGGTCACCCACCCAACTACTAATCCACCGATCTGAAGCTTGTGTATGGCAGAGCGGACGGGATGCCCAATTCTCTTCAGTCTATGGTCGTATGTGACAGAGTTCATGGTTTGTGAGAATATCTACGAAGTTCCCATGCAAATGCGCGGAAGCGAGGAGATTTCCCTTGGAGCACGTGATGTATGATCAGGATTCCTCGTTTCTCAAGAGCTCTGAGGTAACTCGGAGAACTCAGAATGATAGAAGGCTAGATTGACCATATCTTTGCCTTCCTTTTGAGAATTGAAAAATGTGATGATCACCGCGACGGATTCTCGTCGATGGAATTATATCTTTGATCAACCACCGGTCTTGCAGTTTCGACTGGCTGTGATTATGTATATGCAATGAGAGAAGGATGATACTTGTCCCAGTTTGTTTAAATATCGTTACTGAGTTGTGCATTCGTCCTCAGATTCATACACAGATTCTCATTTACGTGGATCATGATCCAAGGCCCAAATTTCCAACTTCACAGCCTATCATCGTGCGATGACAAGTACTTTTCTTTTTTTAAAAGAAGAAACGATTCGTGACCCACTACTCATTGCGAACTCACAGTTAAATGGAAAGCAATTGGAGAGTTCACATTTAACTTCCACCTATTTCCGTCTCTTGAAAATATTCTCCAGGTCAAACCCCCTGAAGTCCAAATCTAACTAAAACATTACTAGTATGAGCATCGATTTTCCCATTCCCTCTAACTTATTCCGGACATTGAGACGTGCAACAAAACCCAAGTTTGCCACTAAGATGTCAGTTTCGAATTTTCTCAAAATGAGATGTGCAACAAAACTATTGTCGGAGTACCATACCATGGGAGTGGATATGAATTACATTGGGGGGGAAGAACCTTTTCAATACATGTGTAAGATTATGTAGGAAAATAGAGTAGGGAAGAGAGAAATGGTTTGATATGAAGGGAGTGATGATGAGCATTCAAGTATAGACGGCATGAATGCTAAAAGTACAAGAACAATACACGTCGATGCGACAATAATGAATACTTATTCATGCGATAACGAGTGATCAAAGAGAACAGAGTAAATACCGTAAAGCCCCAGTACTTCGCAGCACAGCCTCTTCACGGCAAGTCATCCCAAGCCAGTTTTCCCGATAAATAGAATCTTCTCCTATGTATATTCATATTTTCACAATTTATGAGAGGCATTTCATATGATGAGAGCTATTGAGTATGGTCAGAGCAAAATCTTTCCTCATCCCCACCAAAAATATCGTCGCATGAGCCAGCCCCACTCTCACCTCGCTTAATCCCCCCTAAGAAAAGTTTTTACAAAGTTTTTTATCAATTCCTTAAATATAATCTCAAACACGAATTCTGTCTCTAACAAACCATCAAGCAAAGCCTGCCCGGCTAGCTCAATCGGTAGAGCGTGTGACTCTTAATCACAAGGTTGGGGGTTCGACCCCCCCGTTGGGCTCAATTCCCATCATCAAAGCTTGATTCTTTTTGCATTCTTTTCCTCTGGATTTTTAAGGGAAATGTCAATCATTATTTTTGGTTGATTTTCCAAGTTGGAAAAAAGAATTGAGGAACTTGTAGTCTACCAGGCGAGGAGGTGTGGAGTGAATTTTATAATGACACTAGTTGTCGTCTAGTGTATATTTGGTTTTCCCTACTCCTCATCTTTTGCCCCGCTTCACCTATCAACGTGAAGGTTCTTGAAGTATAGGGGAGATATTTGGAAAGCCAATCATAAGAAAGCTTGGAATAATTCCTCAATTTTAAGATCGGTGCAGACTATCGGATCTGCCTCAACCATAAAGCATAGATTGACCATGGTATTTCAAGGGAAATATACTAGAACTAGTATACGCGCGCTGTACCTTTCCGATTTTGTTAGTTTAATGAGTTACTTGACACGCATCCAATAATGGTTTCCTTTCTGGGCGTTGAAGAGTAGATGTGTGAATCACAATCCATCCTCTCCTTTGGCGCTTTGATTCGTCTTTCTACGGCAACTTCGCCCCTCTCTCCATACTCCTAGCCTACATGCGCTACTAAGCTATGCATTCAAAAAAAAAAAAAAAAAAAAAACTCCAACTGCCTACCTACAAAGTCTTTAAAATCCAAATGAGATTCTGGTTTCAATGTCCTTAAGGGGAGCGGCGTTGTTGGTGAGAATGCGACCCTCTTCAAAGTGAAAGAGGAGGCCAGGAAATTCGTAATAAATCAATATGTAATATCAGATGCAAATATCGAATGAATGACAGTAACAACAAAGTCTTTTCGAGATGGAGAGATGGGATGCATGGTGGATATTTAGCGACAGCAATAATAAGAACCAAAAAATGCTAGATGAGGACATGTAAACTGCTCATCCGGATCAAAAGGTCAATTATGACGATGAAAAATGCTGCTGAAACTTCTATTGTTCATTCATGTTGCTGTTCTACTTTTCTGCAAAATCGGAACGTTGATGACTTAAATAGATAGTGCAAGCGGCTACCCTACCTTCCCTAATATAAATTTGATTCGCCACTATGATTCACATAGTGCTCAAAAGTATATAGTAAGGATGTGAATCACCGATCACATTGTTTTCTCTCGTCTTCGATATAGTGATTTTCAAAGCTTAGTAGTAGAGTGAATTTCTTTTCCCGAGCGCCTATTATCTCTCAAAATTAACCGAGATTGGAAAATTTAAAATACATCTCTATATAAACCCCACTCCCAAAAATTAATCTCTAGTGGGTTTCAAAACAGAACATCTATACCCATTTTAAGAGTGGATCCTCATAGAGGCAATAAGAGATTGGCAGACTGAGAGACACAATATTGAACGTATACATCGCTGTATTCGAACAGATGTAATCCATCAGAACCAGGTGAGGAGTTTATGCATGCTTAGAAGTGAGAAACGATAGTATTTGATAGCATCATTACCTATCTGACAATGAAAATACATGATTGTAAAGGATACTCCATTCGTCTCATCTTTTTACTCGTAAATTTTCTCTCGTTCAAAAAGGGATCTAATCTTATTACCCTCCTACTATCGACTTGTAGTCACACTACTTACTATAGCACTTTATATGGATTGTTCAACTCAAAACATTCTTAAAATTTTATATTTATTATTTAATCTTTTGAATCTTTTAATTCAAAAACATCTTTGGTTGAAAAATCGTACAAAGTACTACATTCTATACTATAGTGACTGTAGCAACTGCATTTCCATCCATCATTCCCAAATATCGAAATTAATTAGGTCTATAATTAGCTTGACTTGTACGTTGGAAGCCACTGGAGAATGTAGTGATACGAATAGCAGGTTGTAGGCAACGAAAGGATATTCATGGAACTGCATGATTGATTGCATAGTAATCTCTCAACCAATTCTGAACAATATAATCCGACCCTACCTCCAGTCCGAACTTTTAGACTCGATAAGGAATCATACTTGATCGACGACAGCATTAACCGATATACCATTCCGATCCCGATGGTAGGCCCGCAAAAGAATAACAAATCTATATTGTACTCCATCCTCGATTCTCTATTTCCCTGTCCGACTTTCCTGTGTCTGAAGACAATCCTAAGTCATGAGCGAGAACATTCCCCGCATTCCGATCTGTTCATCGCATCAATAAATCGTCTCCCATGATGATGTACACTTTTTTGTCCTTGTATTCAGAGATTTTGAAGGAAGAAAGATGAGTGTAATATATATAGCCCAACTTGTGGAACATCGGATTCATACCACTCGGTCACTAGTAGTTACCGGACTCGAAGATAGGAGAGATAGAAAAGGGTGAGTGAATACTCTCTACCGTATCTTCATTCTCTATCTCAACCCCGCTATGTGTATGTGAGATACACCCTTTCTATTTCGTTCCCCTCTCCTCTTTCTCGGTCTCAAAAATTCCCCCTTCATATAATATAGAAAGACACCCATCTGTAGTTCTGAACTATCGTACAGCAAACCGCAAGCACCGTGGACTGTGATAGGAATACCAATATCCTAGACCACATAACCATACGATTCTATCCCAAGATCATCCTCAGAATCGCCTCGAAAGTAAACAATTCCTTACTTTATATATCCTACCTTAGAATCTACACACCAAACCATCCACCGGTCGTAGTACATTATGAGTGATAACGAACATCCCATCTTCAAGCCAACAAAAAAAAGAAGAAATTAACAGTAAAAAGCTTCCGCTTCATGAGAAACTACCATCAAACTCCAAGCAAGTAAAACACCACACCACAGTCCATCGACTAACTCTTATTTCCTCGAATACTCGTTCAAATTATTATACTTTAAACATCACAAAAACACCAAACCTTACACTATTTTATAGACAAATAAAAACAACCCCTTCCTCTAGAGCATCTAAAAATCCAGTAAAACATCATATCCAGTCTAAAAAGAGATCAATAACGCATGGAGGAAGGTACAGAAAATCTGCAGAATCATGAATGCGCATGTAGAAATGGTATAACAAGTAGATCCTCTTCATAGATACCTCTCTCTAACCCCACCAGAAAAGCCTTCTCTTTATACCTATGAAAAAAAAGAAAGAATTCTTAATTATTGAGATGCTAAACACGTTACATAGCTAGAAGTTATACACATCGCAAGGTGTTCTGAACACTTTGTTCGCAAAAAAGGGATGCATATAATATGAATGACTGTACTGATTTTAATCTCTCGTTAATGCTTGAATTCAACGTAGATTATATATCAATCGAATATACTGCCAGAATCATAAATGATAGAATGACAATTATATCTATATCGATGCCAATAATACAAAAAAAACTCGACAATGAGAATACCCCCCCTCCCCCCAAATCCCCATATCCAAGAACTCAAAGACCAAATGTCTTGAATTTCAACAGCGTGTCATCATCATCCACACCACACCAGGCGCATCTTTCCCACGTTATATAATAAGTATGGAGAGCCTTTGAAGATCGAAACCCTACTTCAGTCAGCAAGCTTTATATACTCGTACACACATACAATCACATACCAATATGAATCATTCTCATAATCTATCTTCCTACTTACCAATCAGATTTCCAGCTCATTATATCTTGCATAGGCGAGTGAATATATATCCGACAGCACTTCACTCTCGTCTAACCTCCTCCTCCTCCTTATCCCCACCTCGTTCCACCCCCCACTCCTTCTCTCTTCCAATATAAAAACCCTCCCCCTCCTCCCCAAAACAATCCTCCTCGTCACATTCCAACCAAAGTCAAAAGAACGAGGCATGGAGTGGAAGCCTGCAGAGCGCTTTAACTAACTTCCATACTTCGATAGCTTTGGTATACATAGGTTGATATAGAGAGAGATAGATGAATGAATAGATAAATAGCCAAACAAATCAGATGACTTGATTTATGATAAGTTAGGTATCTTACCAAAAACAACAACAACACCAACACCAACACCAACACCAACACCAACACCAACAACAACAACAACAACAATAATTCTAACGAAAAAAAAAAGCAACGAGAATAAAAGACGACAACCAAGACCAAAACCAAGACCATCAACAAAAACAACAATAGGTACCTACCCCAACCCCAACCAATTCTTCACCCCCTAGCATCCATCTCAAACCAACCTCTCATTCTCACTCTCCTTCAAAATTCATCCACCCTTAAGCACAAGCACAAGTACAAAAACCCCTCCTTCCTTGTTATCAACAAACTCTTTTATTAAGACCCCATCTACAGGATGATCCCCCGACAGATGCAATGCTTTTCATACCACCTATTCGCTTCCCTCTCCCTTTCATACTCCCGTCCCCCCCCCTTCCTCCCTTTCATACACCCACCCCTCCTCTTATACCCCCCTCACAACCTCGCAACCTCCCACCCCCAAGCCCCAAACCCAACCCTCCAAAATACTCATAACACCCTACCATCTAATCATCTTTTACACTCTGCCAAATCATATTTCACCCTACATAATACATGAACTTGCCTGTTTGAACGTACCAGTATCCATTTATCCATTCCAACCACTCATGTACCAAAACACACACACACACACACACACACAAAAGTAAAATCACAATCACCCTCACATTCGGAATCTAGAAAAATGAATTTTCACATCTACTTCACGCCTATCACTCACTCACGTAGTCACTCATTCATCAAAAAACTCCATCTCAGAAATCATCTTATAAAATTTCATTTTAAAGTCATTCATTCATTCTCATTTTCATATATGTCCATCCATCCATGCACGCACGCAAGCGTATATGCAAAGTATCCATCCATCATCATTCTCGCCAGCGAGCTCTTAACAAGCTCCCCAAAATGTAGAGAAGAGACTGGTCTATCTAGACTAATAAACGTCCATGTAAAAATAGACTACGAACTGAGGGAAGAATATCCTGCCCCTCCTTCCCACACCAACCCTACCAAAGTGAAGAAGTATAGAAGAAAAAAAAAGTGAAGAGCAAAGAAGTATATCCACCACCCATTTCTCCAAATCTACACCAAACACATCAATCATATATCTCAACAACATTATTCCACACAAATTCCCAGCCAATATCTCCCCCCAAGAATTATTATTCCAATTCAGTATGACTCCATATCAAATTCATTTTTCTCAAATATTCAACCAGATCGTAGTGTCCCAGCCAATTGCGCAATTATTCAATAATTGGATCTTCACCAAGGACCCCTGCCGATGCAACACCATCCTCTTTCTTTTGAGCTCCTGCGCCACCAAAAGCCCATCCCATCCAACTAGCTCTCTTAGCTTTCGTTTTTTCCTCTTCTTCTTTATCCTGAACCAATTGTAATGGCTTTGGTTTATTACCCGCAAATTTTCTCGCCTCTTTGCGTGGAGGGCTATTGGTACTGGGCGGTGTACTGACCTCACCGCTATCTCCGCTTATACTACTAGTTTCGCTCTTGAGACCCGGGAAATTACCCGCGGTGGGTACTTGACCTAAGGAAGGATGGCGAGAAGTGGGTTTACCGGCCATGGGACCATTCCCGAAAAAGGTTTGCGAGTGTCGAGGAGTTTGGGGTCCATGGAGGGGTGGTGAGGTTTGGCCGCCTCTATACATTTGATTAACAATTGATGCTCCACCACCGGTATATTGTTCTGATTTAGGACGGACTCCTTGTCGAACACTCGATGAACGGCCAACTCCGAATGGTATACTAGGTGCTGTTTCGGGATCTTGATTGAGAGTTCCATGGCTCATTGGCATAACAGATTGAGGTCTTGGTTTGCGACTTCCCATAGCTACAGTCTTCGCACGTTGAAGAATAGATGCGCCACTAGCCTGTTCTTTTGGTGGAGGTGGTGGAAGATCTTTATCCTTATTAACAGGACCCTTAGCATCTCCAGATTTGAAATCCGAATCAAGAATTGCTTCAAAATCTTGATGTTGTAGTAGTCGTTCAATGATTTTGTTGATGTATAATGTTAAAGCTTTATTCTGATCCTTGGCAGATTTCAACTCGGCTTCAAGGCGACGGTGTTGATCATTTTCGCCTTCGTTGTCGTTGAGTTCAGAAAGTTCATCTGCGAGAGAAGCTCCTGGTGATCGTCCCTCCAAAGCATTCAGCGCATCGGCGTTGGAAGATGAACCCATGTATTCAAAATGATCCTTTGAGAAGTCGCCGTTCAACGTCTTTTCTTGTAAAAGTAATTGGAAACTCTCATTATCTTCCATCAATCTTGCATTTGTCATACGTGCTTCCAAGAGTAATTTTTCGACCTCTTGCATTCTTCCACCTCCCATATTCTCGGATTCTACCAACTTGATTTGAGCTTCTGCCAATTCTAACCGCAAGGATTCAATGAGTCTGTCTTTTTGAAGAAGTAATTTGGAATTATTGCGAGAATCGCTGCGATTTAAACCGGATGGAGGAGCGAATTGGCCATTTTCGACATTTGGGGAGGAATTATTTGCTTCATAATGTTAGCATGATGGATTGTCCAATAAAATGGCTGGCAACTTACAACGTCTAGACAATCGTGATTCTTCATCTGACGATGATCTTTGCGATAGAGAATCCTTTAATCGCTGAATGATTGTCTGCATTTCCTCCTCTCGATTTGCCATTTCTTCCCTCTCCTTTGTCATGGAACTTCTCTCGGCTTCATAGATTGATTCCATCTCCCTCTTCTGTCGAAGAGCATCTCTCTTTTCATTTTGTAAAGTCTCTAATTTCTCTTCATTCTCATGTAGACGATCCTCCAACTTTCCTTGATCCTGTAGGGCTTCATCTAATCTTGACTGGAGAACTTGAGCTTGCTTTTGGAATTGCTCTGATATCGTTTCTGTTTTACGAAGTCTCTCCTTCAAATCATCCAAAAGAGCAATATTCTCAGCCCTTGCGTCATCGTCCGCAACAGATGGTACACTGCTTGAACTCAGATTGGATGCACCAGCGCCCGGTCGTTGCATGGCAGCTCGTGCGGATAATGGGGTACCACTGCGTATTGAACGGCTTCGTACGTGTGTTCCGTTTGTAATGGTAGGTGAAGAATCTTTTGTGGGTGAACGTGTTGCACTTCTACTTGGGATACCGGTACTGGAAGTATCTGATGACGTTCTGCGACCAGCTCCTAAAGATACTGGGGGTTTCTTGGTAGCTGTTGACATTGTGATTGTGGTGCAGCTTGAATGAGGGTATTAAGCAAACAGCGAAACAGTGATTTCGTAATAAATATTTGATTTGAAACGTATGCTCGTTAAAGGGTAATGGAGAGAATGTAGTAAGATAGCAGTGAAATATTCAATAATCTTAAGGATTAAGGGTTATTTGTTGTGTTGCATGAATGTTAAGTGTTTGAATGAATTTGTATCGTTACTGATTGAGCTATTCTTGGAGATTCTGTAGGACTAGGTTGTGGTTGTTGTGGTTGTATGGTTATGGATAGTTGTATGGTTGTATGGGTGTATGGGTGTATGGGTGTATGGTTGTATGGTTGTATGGTTGTATGGTTGTTGGGTCAGATTCAAGGGTGGCTCAGTTTCTCAGTTCCTCCGTTTGATTTATATGCCGCTTCCGTTCAATCTGTGAATATGGAGGCTTCCAAGGTTTGTATGAAGGCTTGTGTGGAGGCTTTGTTTATTGCTATCGTAGCCGTTCGTAAAGATGCGTGAATGAAACGACAGTATATGAGGTAAAATTTAAGATTTGCGATCAAGTAGATGTTTGACTTGTGATTCAGGTGAATTTACATACAGGAAGAATGCGGTATGGTATGGCAAGGTAAGGTAAGATGCGGTGCGATAAGATTTCGTTATGTATCGTGTTCAACATATACCGCATGTGGTAACCGCCCTAATGTACATGTGTGAACGGTTGATGCGCTTGAGAACAAAAAATACTGGGTAACGGGAGGGGATCGTTGGACAGAAAGGAACGACGTGCACCATGGGCTTGCATTGATTTTCTGATCAGGAGATACAAATGAAGGAAGGGAAGGGTACGATGTAGGCTCGTCGGTCGCTCAGCTGGAGGTGAAGGTGGGTGAAGGGTATATTGAAGTAAAGTATGTATGTATGTATGCTTGTATGGTAGTGAAGGATGATATACTTTCAAGGATGATGGATTTTGGAACAAAGTCCTTACCTAGGAAAGGGAGGGAAGTAGTTGTTCTTTCCTATACGTGTCCAAACCCCTTGTTATGGAGGAAGGATGATTTTGAGGTTGTGATGATTATAATTATTATCATTACTGTTACTAGTACTATTCTTATTATCATTTCCATTGTATAATGATTTCCTCTGTTGTTCATTGTTTACTCGTATTGTTTGTTGTTTTCAAAGCACAAATCAATGATCCCGATACCTACCTAGGCAGTTCCTCGCCTTAACTCCTATATCTGATTTAATCTATAAAAGTCTGGCTTCGATATTCATTACGGTACCTGGATACGGTCTGGATTTCTTCATGACTAGCAAATCACTGGCTGTTCTCAAATTTCCATCTCTTCTTATCCATACAAACCCGCACAATGGACCATGCGTTTTCATCGCTGCATGATCTTAAATCTCCGCTCTTTCACCGTTTTCATATTCATAAGGAAATGATGCCTAGTACTAGTATTGACTCAGTTGCCAGGAACTTCTCTCGAACATACGCTCTCACATACAGAGTATACCTACGTAGCGAGTGCACTTGATTGATTACATATAAATTTTCATGGAAATTTCATGGTTGATATGGATGGTGATGGTGATGCAGCATCGTTGATCAAGGGTTATCCTCATATGTGAATGACCTGGCTCGAGCCCGGGTAAATGTTGTTGACGATGTTGATGTTGTTGATGTTGACATGAACTCGAATATGGGGAATCTGAAAATCTGGGATTATGACTTCTCGCTGTCCAGTATGTATGTGAGTAAACCATATCTACGAAACAATGCAGGGCCATCTTTATATTTGACGTCTCCATAGCTACAAAACTCCAGACGACAAGAACTTTCTCCTGTATCATGTAAATGGATACCTACTCTACTCTACTCTCTCAAAGTCAGGTGACCAATCCGCCCATCAAGGTCACGCTTTGTTTCCCGCCTATCTAGTCCATTTCTAACCTAGCGCAAGTACCCTTAGCGTCCCACACTTTGAAAATATTCAGAACTTTTGGAACTTTTGGAACTTTTCGAATTTTGCTCTACAACCTCAACGACAACACCAAACTTTCAAATCCAATACAGCCGGAGCGCATTATCCAATTTCAAAACCGCAGAGATGGCACCAACAACTAAGAAGGCTAAGAAGACCGCCGACTCCATCAACAGTCGTTTGGCTCTTGTTATGAAGTCCGGAAAGGGTATGCAAAAAATGGGTTCCAATTGAAATACAATTCAACAGAATACTAATTATTCTCTTTTACAGTCACTCTCGGATACAAGTCTACTCTCAAGCAACTCCGATCTGGAAAGGCCAAGCTCGTCATCATTGCCGGAAACACCCCTCCTCTCCGCAAGTCTGAGCTCGAGTACTACTCCATGTTGTCCAAGACTCAAGTTCACCACTTCTCCGGTAACAACGTACGTACATATACATTTCATTTGTCAAAATATCCGTCTATCGATCAGACCTGAGATCAGGTCTGGGAGGACATTACCCAGCGATAAAGTCTCTCTAGACTTTGGAGGGTATTCAGTTGCTTACTATTTTATTTCTTATAGATTGAGCTCGGTACTGCTTGCGGTAAGCTCTTCAGATGTTCCACCATGGCTGTTTTGGATGCTGGTGACTCCGATATTCTCTCTAGCCAAGCTGCATAGATTTGGAATATCAATCATTAGTATTGGTTGTTGAGGTGGAAGAAATTCTAGATGAAGGAACAAGATCAGTCATGATTGATTAATCTTTGACATGTATCAGTATGCACATCCTGCATAGCTTTATAGCATCACAAAATGATATACCTTGATTCTAGGAAATTGTTTCTACTCTTTATCTATTGAATGATGGTCCTATATTGTCTTTGTTGATATGCGTGTAACCCGATTCATGTTTACAGTGACTCACACCGGCTCATCGATTCTGAAGGATTTTATCCCGAATTCCGGACTTGTTAGAAAGCCGGATACCGTATATTAGAAATCTTGATGCTGAAAATCAATGGTAATGTTTATAATACATAAAGCCCAAGTAATTCTATTGTGAGACATGATGATACCTTCTATTTCCATTTGAAATCGACTTGATTTCAAATAGAAAATTGCCACTATTCCCATCTCCGGAACTCCAGTTACCTCATTTGGCAAATTATCAAGTTTGCCCTAAAGAAATTCTCGCTTATATTTCCACAAATGCGCTAGCGCAACTTTGCTGAGCAATCAATCCAACTTTGAAAGTTCCCTTTTGAATCCCCCGATCCCCTTGAACAAACCCATCGACACCAACACCAAAAGACCCTCTAGAAATCATTCAAGATGGCCCGTCGCCCAGCGAGATGTTACAGATACTGTAAGAACAAGGTGTGTAAATCTCATTTTCCGCCACAAATTATCATCGACCTGTGCGAGGTGGATTTGACGGATTTCCGACCATTCGATCGACCGCCTTTTCGCATCAGCGATCGCAAATGTATTGGAATGGCGCCAGATCTATGATCGCAGAATCACAATAAATCGAAGGAGTCAATACTGATCAAATTTTGATTTTCTAGCCTTACCCAAAGTCCCGTTTCAACCGTGGTGTTCCCGACCCAAAGATTCGTATCTTCGATCTCGGTCGTAAGAAGGCAAATGTCGACGAGTTCCCTCTCTGCATTCACTTGGTCTCCAACGAGTATGAACAATTGAGTTCCGAGGCTTTGGAAGCCGCCCGTATTTGCGCCAACAAGTGAGTTCAACCCGAATCAATGACGTCGAGCGAAGGAATTTGGTCAAAGTGGAGATGGAACAAAGATGAAGGATATTGGGAAGATCAAGTGGAGTTATCGAGATGGATACTAACAATATATACAACAGGTACATGGTCAAATCCGCAGGAAAGGAATCTTTCCATCTCCGTGTCCGTGCTCACCCATACCACGTCGTCCGTATCAACAAGATGTTGTCTTGTGCTGGTGCCGATAGATTGCAAACTGGTATGCGTGGTGCTTGGGGTAAGCCAAACGGAACTGTCGCCCGTGTCAACATTGGTCAAATCATTTTGTCCATCAGAACTCGTGACTCTTGTAAGTTTATATTCAAGATGTTTCACATTTACAATCGTCTAACAACTTTTTAGTCCGCCCCAACGCTCTCGAGGCCCTTCGCAGATCCCAATACAAGTTCCCAGGTCGTCAAAAGATCATTGTTTCCAAGAACTGGGGTTTCACTCCTCTCCGTCGTGAGGAATATATGGAGAAGAAGCAAAGTGGAAAGGTTTTGGTCGATGGTGCATATGTTCAATTCTTGTCCAACCACGGCAAGTTGGCCGATAACATCAGACGTTTCCCAGCTGCTTTCGAGACTGAGGCATAAATCGAGTTGTTGATATCAAAGGGAATTTCGGGGTATGATCAGAAAGGCGTACATTTGCAATGGCTGGATTAGCATGGTGTCACATGAAGTGGCAGACACAAATCCTAATCATTGTACCTAAGGAATTGATTCTACGACTTTCAAAAACTCATCATGTTATTTTCCATATCTGATTGGTTGGTGACGTGACTATTCTGTGATACTGACATGAAGATTATTTCTTTTTCGTGATATCTAACAATTAAGGGTCGTGCAAGGGACGACAATCAAAAGTTCGTGTCAGCTCACAACTCAGCAGCCAAGACGAGAGAGGTAATCTGAAGTGCTATCTCGGGCCGCTTGAAATGAAACCAAAAACCAACAATGCAATATGACAATCACGACAATCATGACAACATTACCAAGTCTTCTTGCCTCTTCTAAGTTTTATTAGATCAGCAAGTCGTGGCAATGGACTTGATTTTTCCGGATCTTTCCATCCAACAAAATCTTACGCCCCGAAGACTATTCCCTTCGTAATCTAGCCTCTCATCTCAAACGTTCTCATACCGAATTGATTGGCTGGCATGACTGCGGCTGCACCATTGTGGTATACTATTTTGAGAGATTTTCTTTGCTTATCGCGGCTGGTTTGGTAGTTGATAGATGATGGCTGATGGCGGACGGATTAGGTTGATGATGCATATCCAACTGTGTTGAAAGGAAGGGAAAAGAGTTTAGAAGGGGGAGGGATGATAAGACACAAGGACGGTACGAGTACGGGAGATGGCGGGAGAATCTGACTGCGCAGGATGATGTGATTGATGAGTGGATGATGATGGATGGATGAATGATGAAATATTCCGGTACCTTCCAAAAGTGCTCTTAGATACCTACCTACCCTATGCATACCTAGGTACATATGATTAGGTTATCTAATTTCAATGAAACAGAGTTAAGGGAAAATTCAGAAATGAAGATATTAGACAATCAGTTCATTACTCGCCAGTATCAGTATCA